TGCACTTTATTATCATGCAACGCGTCATGCACAACTCTCATTGACCACAGATAATCCTGACTGCATATAAGATGATGTATGTTTGTTAAAAGAGGCTCGTCTGCGTGCATTTATATTTCTTCTCTGCTGTTGTGACTATATCACAAGCATCGCTATTTTGAGATTTGACAGTACATAAAGAATCTCAAGTAACATGATTTTTTTATAGGACAAACGGAAGGCTGAACCACATTGATAACAGTGAAAAAATTACGCCCTGATTACACTGCATTCGTGAAGACCAGAAACATTCGACCTGATCTGACTACCGCCGAGATCAAACCCATTGGTACAAAGATCAGCGTAAAATGATCATTATCATCACACACATGTAGGTCAATAAAAACCAATAGAATCCCTTCTAGTAGTTCATCTTTTAAAGGCGTAAAAGACAGAGTAAAAAGTAAAGTAAAGAGAAGACTGCATACAGTTTATTATATCTTAATTCGTCTGTATTTTATTTTACATTGTACAATTCCAGCAAAGAAAAGAATGATTTACAACAACCAAGTGTTACTCTGTTAAAACCCTATAGGATAGAACCTCGAATGTAGCTTCACCAATAGAAAGCTCTGAAATAAAAAGTCACAAAGACACATTGGTTAATGATAATAATAGTGGGAGCATTCCTTTTTTTTCTTTTTTCTTTTTCTGTAATAACAAAATAAACTAGTTCAATATGCCTAAAGCAGAGTTTGGTACTCCAAAGTACCTTAGCAACAAGATGAAGGTAATATAAATAATACAATAATGTAAACATACGACTAACTCACTAGAATATATAGTCTAAGGGATTGCAAAAATTGAAATTCTATTGTCAAGCATGTGAAAAGCAGTGTCGAGATGAGAATGGTTTCAAGTGTCATATGATGTCTGAATCCCATCAACGACAAATGTTGGTTGTAGCTCAAAACCCTGGCAAGTTCATTAGCAATTATTCTGAAGAATTCAAACAAAACTTTATTCGTCTACTCTCTCGGTCGCACGGTACGAAGAGAGTCCTTGCGAACAGAGTTTATATGGATTACATTGCACAGAGAGATCACATTCACATGAACGCAACTAAATGGAACACACTGACCGAATTCTGTAAAGAAATGGGAAGAGCTGGTATTTTTAGAGTAGATGAAACAGAACGAGGTGTACACATTGCTTGGGTTGACAACAGTCCAAAGACACTTGCCAAACAGGTAAAAACAACAAAATACAAAAGAGAGCGATAACACTGATTACTTTCTGTTCCGTAGGCTGCTATTCAAAAGATGGAAAGAGCTGCTAAAGATGATGAAGAAAGAGAAAAAGAATTACTAAAGGAACAGGTTGAAAAGGCATCAAAGCTTGCAGAAGAAAAAGGTTTAGACCGTGAACCGAAACCAACAGAATTGAAAAGAGAAGGCGAGCAGCCAATAAAGCTGAATTTATTCATGAAACCTGCTGCTCCTGCTGCATCGCCTTTGACATCATCTAGTGGATCAAAGATGATGCTTGGCTTCAAGAGAAGAAAAGTCATGTAATTAACACCACTTCTTATTTTACTGTAAATAAAGCATAATATACATCACAGTCAATGGTAAACATATTTGCTTTTTATAATAAGATACACTTTTTTTAAAAATTATTCGCGCACATTACAAGATCAAAAACAATTAACACTTTAGTTGATTTTCTATGTCTTTATGACATAAATGAGCTTGATACTTTTGAGTATAAAACAAATGTGGTCAACACTTAATAACACACGTAACTGAAAAAGTTGTTAGAGAATTTGTTTAAGTAATCTGATCTTGACTTCTTTTTCTTTTCTTTTCTTCTTTGGACCAAAGTAAGACCAGCTATTCCTTAGTTAGCCCTAAGGTATGTTATATTCTTTACTCTTGTAAGAAACTGACAAGCAGTATTATAGATCATAATCGAACCCGTACCGGTGCTAGCTGGGAGTAATTTGGTTCTTATCAAAGTTTGATCCATCCACTCCTTCAACCCCTTCCGCTCCTTTGGCCTCTCTCTCTTACTCTCTCTTACTCTCTCTTACTCTCTCTCTTCCGTGCTCTTCTCTTTCCTCGCCGCCTTCTCCGGGCTGGTTATCGTCCGCCCATCCATAGTACACTTCGGGTAAGATATTAATAATCTCTCTATATGTTTACTCATTTTTCTTGCTTCTCTTTTTCTCTCTTATAAATTCTTTTCTTTATAATGTAAGTATTTAATATCAATGTAAATAATTGATTTACTAATTATTTCTTTATTCATTCTTTTGCTTCTGATGAGCTCTCTTTTATTATTATTTGTTGTCTGAAATTATCTTTTTTTATCAGTGTATGCACAAATATGAACTATTTATTAGTATAAACATGTTACAGAAACTATTTACGTCCCAAGAAGCCTGCCAAAGGACTCTTGCCTCTTGGTCTATCTCTTGCTCCAATTAAAGGTGACTTTATAGATTGCTGATCATAGTATTGTTTGTTTTCGGTATTCTCTGAAGACTGTGAAGAAAACGAACTCTTTCGGTGATTAGGAAACCTTAGTCTTCGTTCTGTTCCTTCATCTTCATAGCGTGACAGTCTGCTTGGTGTTACTGGCAAAGGATGCTTTGAAAGAGAAGACTGAATTATAAAATTATAATGAGTATAAATCTATATAAAAGATGTCAAGAACCTACACTTTCATCTGCCATATGTGTATATCCACTATCGTCATTCTCTGGTGTCATAATGTTATCACCAGCTGCTCTCTTTAGTTTTGCTATCTGATGCATCAAAGGTTCTAATTCTCTTGCTAATTGATTTGCTGCATCATGTCTTGATCGTTGTATATCTTGGTTCATACGATCATATTCAGACTTTATGAACCTTAGCTCAGCATGTTTTTTGTCGAGTTCTCTTTCAAGCTCTCTACTGTCTTGCCTCATCTTTTTAACATTTGTCTCTAACCCCTGTTTTTCTAATTCGAGTTTTTCAATCTCTGCCTTCAACGCTTGATTAAGGCCTGATAACTTAGCATGAATATCGATCACACTTTGGACCGATCTTTGTTGCTGTTGTTGTCCATCAGAACCTGCATTATTTGTCAAACTAGGATCGTGCTCCAATGCTTGCAAGACGAGTCGTTCGAGCATCTCATACATAACGCCCGTAAACTCATGAAGATCAGAATGCATCTTCTCCATCGACTTGTCAAAATAGATGCGAGCATTTTCTTCATAGCGTTGCATCTTTTTGTCAATCTCTTTTCGTTCTTCTACATTTTGGTCTTGAAGTGCCATGACCTGTTCTATCTGAAGTTTGCTTGCACCCTTTACAGCACGACGAATGATCTCTTCAATGCTGTTGGAGTTACCACCTTCATATCGACTTAGCGCGAGCAAGGCGCGTTCCATGAAACGTTCTGTGTTCTTGACAAAATTGTGGAGTTGAGTCAACCTGTCATCGTCGCTCATATTCTTGAGTTCTTCTGCAGGTGGTGAAGGTGTCCAGTTGGATGGTGCCATGGACGTGCCCGGATTAACTTGAGAAAGACGGGACTCTGTTACTGCTAGTCTCTCGACGACATCTTCGAGTTGCTGCGAGAGAGCAGGTAGGTCAGGTATGGCGCTATTCTGTATATCATTTGTCATTAACTGTAGATAATTGCCTATGGTTTTGATATGTTTTGTCTGTTCCTCTTGACTCTGTTCTTGAGACTTGATCAGTTCCATAAGGACACTTTCTATTTTTGTTGATAGCTTGTCGTAGAGAGATTGTACGTCTGAACCAGGCACACGATGTGACTCGATCATGTTGCGTGTCTCCTGCATCCAAGCGTCCAGTTTTTCTTGATAGTCTTCTGTAGGTTTCTTCTCTGTATTTGGCTTTTCAGATAAAGACGACGAAAGGCGAGATTGGCCAATCTGAAGATTTTCGACCATATCGATCAGGATGTCAAACTTTTCTGTCAGGGAAGGTGTCTTCTTGCTGTCTTTTTCTTCGTCTGAATCGAGAGTGATGCCCACCAGCTCTTCACGTAGATGGTTAATATCGTCAGCAAGTAATGACAGACTGTGCCTCTGACTGGCTTCTTTTCCTTCTGCATTCTGCTTTTCAGTTTCCAACAACTTGACAATATCACCCTCGAGCTGCTTCCAGTTGGACTTGGCCTCTTCCAAGGTTTCAGATAAGTTGTGAATACTTGTCTTGATTTCATCCAAGGTGGGTGTGACCTCATTTGAAGGATGACTGAGGTGGTCACGAAGCAGTTGCAGGTTGAACTTGACATCAGACAGCGTTTCAGTCACATTTGTTTCGGTTGGCTTTTCAGACGTCTTTCTTTGCTCTTGCTTTTCCTCTAGCTCACTCACACGATGACGCCACTTGCGCACCTCCATTTCAAGCATCTCTACCTTCTTTTCATCTGTATCCATGTTACGACCTTGCCTTGTCTCGAGTTCAACATACTTGGCTCGCCACTGCTTTGCTTCTCTTTCATATATCTCGCACTTGGTTTCCAAAGCCTGTCGTGTACGATCGAGCTCTGCTGTTAGTTCCTGTTCTCTTGCCTGATAGTCCTTCTTAAATAGTCTCTCTTGTTTCTCTAGAGCCTCCTTGAGTTCAGCCTCTCGCAACTCGATCTCTTGCTGAAACTGGTGCTCTTTCTTGACCGCAGCCTCCTTCAGACTCTCAATCTGGGCTCTCAGCTGATGGTTCTCTGTGTCTAGTTCTTCTGCGACCTGCTGCAGGTCCCGGTTCATTTGTTCGGACGTCTGTATACGCGACGTGAGCTCGTTTTGCGTCGCCAGAGAGACCTTGCCCATGATGGACGTAAGCGAATCGATCCAATCTTTTCTTGAAGTCATATCGTCAGTCGCTAAAGTGACATCATCTCTTTTCACTAGCATTCGAATCTCCCATTTGATGCCTGGCTTATACTCTTGTGCACGAGGCGATACTTCAAGCACTTCGCTCATATCATACGTTTGGATATGATGCGTACACTGTTTTTCAAGAATAAGCTACATAGCACCCTAAACGTTGCTCTCTTTACCTTTGAATCCTTGTAGAGATAGAGTCCACCAGGTTTAACAGAATTTCCATGTTTAGCAACTGCATAAACAGGCTTCCACTGCTGCAATACATACTTAGTGATGTTGTTTCTTTGTTATAATTTTTATTATATTTACCATTAGCCCATTCTTACGGTACATCCAACCTTCCTTGACGACTCGAAACTCTTGACCAAAATAGGACTGAACAGATCCTGTCGAGCCTCGATGGATACTTGGTGACCTTGACCTCACATCCTGAATGACAACCATACGTTCCTCTTCGACGTCATCGCCTTCATCATCATCGTAAATCACTTCGACATCGTTGGTGCTTTCAGGTATATACTTTATTTCGCTCGACACTCGTCTTGTCAAGGGATACCTTGGTGGTTTCAACGGAGGCTCTTGTTGTTGTTGTTGTTGTTGTTGCCATTGTTGCTGAAGAACTGCTACTGATTTAGGCGCTGTGTTTTGTCGACCTGGGCGAGGTAAAGGACTTGGTATGTTGGGACTTGCTGAGCGTACCGGCGTTGACGTACTGTTGGATGGAGATATTGGACGGTGTCGCCAGTCACTACTGGTCCTTATACCCAGGTTTCTTTCTTTACTTGGAGCTTTATACATTCAAAAATATATGGTTTATTTAAAAAAAATATAAAAAATACAGCTTCAATTGACTTTAAAGAAACTCCTTCTATTGTTTACAATACCATCTTCCTGATTTAGGCACATCAAGCCTGTGTAACAATAACATCAGTGCGCCAAAAATAGAAAACTATAGATACCACATGCCTTCTTTGGCCAGTGCGTCTTTTTTCTTGTCGCCGATGAGACAATTGGCGTGAAGCATGAGAGGTTGTATGCCAAGCTTATTTGGAAGGTTTTTTCTAAAGTAATCGCATCCATTAGGAAATAAGAGCATGTCAAGGAAACGGTAAGGACATTTCATAAAGTCTCGGGTAAAAGCCGATCGAAGGACTCGGTTCATGACCTTTTGCTGTGTCAGCACCTGCGTATCGTCCTGACCTTGGATGACAAGGCCCATGAGCCGTTTGGAAGCAAGGGTGGGCCGCATCATGTAGAATCCTGAATTGATCACTCGTTGATCAATCTCTTGACTAAAGACCATGTCTCGGCCGCCCATCTGTGCAAGCATGGTCGCACGAATGTGTGGGCTTAGAAACACAATGTCAACGTCGGTAAACCAAACGGTCATGTCAAAATAAAGCAGTCGCTCGACCACGAGTGTCTTCGCGTGCGTAATCGGGAGGTAGCTATTGGTTTTCCAACGAGCAAACCCGGAGTCGAGCGGACGATGGAACCAATCGGCTGGAATCAAAGTGACATGTTGTTCGTATCCCCTTTCGGTCATGATATCGACCACGCCTTGGTCAATGGCAAATACCAAGTACTTGTCGTCTTGTCCCGTGCGTTTCAAGGACTCTATCCAGTTGAGTGTGTAATTCATCATGCCTGTGTTGACGACGGCTATCAGCAAGATGTTTAATGGTTTCTTCTGACCTTGCATTCTTTCGGTAATCGTATTTCTGTCTATGGCTGCCAATATATCTGGTGGTGGCTGAGCGTAGTCTTTTAATTTCCATTTCGTACTGTCTGTGTCTGGTGCTGTCATCGTACGCTGTTGAAGCGTATATAATGAAAAGAGGCAGATAAAAAGTAAAGCAAGGCCAAATGCAAATTTAATGGACCGTAATTCAAACATGCGTCTATGAAAAAGAAAGAAGAAATAAATAAAAAAACCAAGAGATTACAAAAAGTCTTGTCTTGTTGCACAAACCCACTGCCCTTACTTCTCTTTCTCCCTTTCTCTCTCTCTCTATCTTTCTTTCTCTTTGTTTTGACGACCAATCATTTGGTAAATACTGCAGAGAACCGGCCTATGCAGCGTCATATACACAAACATTTAATACAAAGAATTGCCGTTCATGCATTTGAGTTAACTCAAGCTGCCGCGGTTCACCAAAAAAAAAAGTTACCATTACAAATATATATATATACTTCTTTCTGCAGTTTATTCCCTATTGATTTGTTAAAAATGGAATACTAAAAGGTGAAATATCTGGTTTTTTGGTAGGTGAAGGCGTATCCTTCATTGGTTTCTTGTTGTATTTTTTCCGCTTCACCCAAAAGTTACTGATCAATACATGTGCTCCCCAATATTCGAGACAGACTTTGAGAGGCAGTAGATGCTCAGTTGCGCTTTCTAATATCTTGTAAGTCTCCAATTTGACGGTTGGATCAATATAACTCCATCTAAGCTCAGGGTCAATCCGGTGTGCTTCCTTTACATGAGATACAACTGCCTTGGTGATCATGATTGCTTCCTTGACCATTGCTCTATAATCTAAATGTTGATTCTCTTCTTGTGGACCCAGCACTTTTTCAATTAAATCAACATAAAGATTCGAAGTAAACTGAAGACTATGTTCTTTTCCTCCCAAGGTCTCTGCTACCTCTTTAGCAGAGGGCCTAGGTAGTGTTCTATCCATCTGGGTGTATTTTGGAAATGGTCCCTGAATGGGGGCAAATTTTGCGGGTATGAGTAGATCATTTTCTTGTAATTGTTGTTGCACACCGTCGTGAGTAGAAATAGATGACGTTGATGATGGGATTAATGTACTATGTTGAATGCTTCTTTTTACAGTGTTCTTTATGTCGATTAGTAATTGTTTAATATTAGAGACTTCTTTAGCTAATTCAGACATTTCATTTGACATGTGTTGTATTTGAAGTGATGTAGTATCTAATTGTTTTTTCAAATCATAAAGTGTCAATTCATCATCACTGTTGTGAATTGACTTAAAAAATGTGTAAACAGGAGAATAGCTTGAAATGAATATAGGTACCTTATTATCGTCATGACTACTTGATTCAAATTCAGCTCTATTGTTCTTTACAGTCCTTCTTCTTTTTTTAGATCCCGTATTACAGTCAAGCGATCCTCTGACAGAGTGTTCTTCTTCAGACATTAACTCATCATCCTCATCTTCTTCTTCTTCTGGATCAATTGGTTCATCTAATTGTTTCTTTTGTCTTCTTGACATAATTATAATATATATGAAAAGTGTAAAGAAATAAAATAGAAAGAAAGAGAGAAAGAAAGAGAAAGAAAAAAAGAAAAAAGAAAAAAATATTTTTGACTAGATTTAATTCGGCTCATATATATGCGTCTTTAGAATAGGGGAAAGGTCATTTGCGAGGTTTTGTAATGTGAGTAGAAAAAAGATTTTTCAAATCAGCTTTAGCTTAATCAGATTTTGACTGACACCTGTCCAAACAAATACTATTTGGATCCGTTTTAATTCTCATTCAGCAAAATATACTCCACTTGTATTTCCTAGACAACTATCTTGAATCAAACCTGACTTTATCTAAAAACGCGAATTGATATGAATGCCCCACCTTCTTTTCTCTTTGAAACTATATAGTCATATTAATAAAAGGGGGTCCCGTGCAGCCTAAAAAAAGAACGTTAAAGTGACAATGAATAACGCTTCTATTTTTTTCCTTTTATGCGTCTATGCGCGCGCGCTCTCTCTCTTTCTAGGACTTTCAGCTGATATGACATTTTACATTTATCAAGTTTTGCATATTGCAACTCTTGTCCAATAGAAACTATTTTCCCATTCGATACTTTTTCCCTTCTCACTTGACCCAGTCTTGTTGTCTCCAAGGCAAATCGAGAATAGAAAAAAAAATTTTTTTCTGGGTTTCTTTTTTCTTTGAAACAAGAATTTCAAAAAAGACTTTTCAACCATTTTCCCTGAATGAGCGGAGACGTTATCCAAATCTGTATAATTGCGACACGTTGGTTTAACTTGACTTTTATGTTTATGTATCAAGAATTTCTAACAAATATGATGCATTCGTTTAATTCTATCAATTTAAACTATTACCCCTTTGTTTGTTAATCTTGAAGTGATTTCCAAAATAGGTGGATAACCCGAATATAAGATGATAGAGAGAGATCAATAGATTGAGTCATAGAACAAGCTATTTCATGTGGGTTAAGAAAGCCTTGATTTATTATAGAGAAAAACCCCTTTCGCTCTTGTTTTATAATTGAAACAAGCCAATTCTAGTCGAAGATCATTCCATCATGCAAGATGTTTAGGCATTTGATCGAACGTTAGCCACGTTAGTAAAAGATAAGCGAACGTGCCGTAATGTCAAAACATCAAAATTAAATGTCCGTCATCCTTTAAGCATTCGCAGATTCACAAATGGAGGGAGACCTTGACAAGACATTGTCTAATGTCTTACTTACAAAAGAACTAGGGCTGGAGCTAAATCAGAGCAAGTTTATGGTCTGGTCTTGTAAAAGCGTCGTTTGAGCGTATTTCATGCATATCCTGGACTATTCTCGTTTTTAAACAGTAAAGACAAGCTCAGACCAGACGCTGACTGAAAAAGAAAAAAAAAAAACATCAAGTGGTATAAGCCAATGATTCCCAATTGTTCCTGTCTATGGAATATAATAATAATCCATAGTAGCTCTTTTCCAAATAGAAATCTTCACCATAATATTCAATCGTCATCATGACAAGCGTACAATGGATTTCTTCTACTCTGATATCGACATGACGTAACTACAAATAATAATATGGGGTGTACGCAATTGCCTTTTACAGCTTAAATTAAGCCATGACGTTTGAAATTCATGCATCACTTTACAAAAGAAAAAGGTATAAATACAAGACCCATTGTCAAGCAAAAAAATTCATTATTTTCAAATCTATTATTACTACTACTACAAAATGAATCCCTCAAGAACTGACGCAAAGAAAGACCAATTCATGGGTAACGTAAAGGAAGGTACCGGAAACATGTTGGGCAACGAACGTATGCAGTCTGAAGGCCAAACTCAACAAGGTGCAGGCAACGTTCAAGAAACTGCTGCCAATGTCACTGGTTATGTTAAGGGCGCCATGGATCAAGCTGCTGGTGCTATGAAGGGTGCTTTTAACTCTCTTACTGGTAATACTACTGGCGAAGCTGGTAACAAGGTCCAACAGAAGAAGGGTGAAGCACAAAAGGACTGGAACTCTTAAATTTGTAAATATGTGTGCTACTTTTTTTTTTAAAGTAAATAAATCCACATACATAAATATGTATAATTTGTATTAAAAACATGTTCCCTTATGACCCCCTTTTTCAAAATGAGAGAGAACAAAAGATGGTATCATTATGGTGTTATTAACATATGAGGACATAATATCTATTTTGTTTATATATAGAATGCCAAGCTCCCCTTCAAAAAAGTAGCTCTGAATGCTTTCAAAGTCTAATTTACAGATGAAACCATTATGCATCCCGCCCATCAAATATAAGCAAAGACGGACCTTCCCTTATACACACACTGCTCCGTATGGAAAATCCCTACCTTTCAAATTACTATGTAATGAGATGACGATCACAAACCCATGCACCTTTTAATAAATCCTAAACTTCATATGGAAGAACAGTCCTCCCTAAAAAA